ACTGTATTGATACTCCCCCTCTAGGGTAATTCCTACAGGCAAGGTTTATCTCCTCTTAGTAAAATAAAGTAAAGTTACAAGTATTGCATTACCTTTTCTGAACTGCCTCAGAGAAGGGTATAGTTTCTTGACAACATCTAACAGAAGCTATACTTCCCTCTTGAATACTGCATATATCCGTAAAGGATTCCCTGTGCCGTGTCATCATTATAGTGTAAAAATCAAGAAGGCTTTCATCTATAACAACAGTAAACATTTTATTATTTTTTTTTTAAAAAAAAAAATTTAATGATATTTATATATACTGAATAGATACAAATATTTAGAATACAGTATTAGAAACCTATTAAAAATTAATCTGAATAACTAAAAACTTATCTAAGAAAACTTGATGCTATGAATTTGAAAAGCTAAATCAAGTTTTAGTTTGTATATTCAATCTTTAATTACATCAACTCATCTCATCCTCCATAATTAACATATTTTCTTTAATCTATATCTTATAAACACCTTCTAAAACAAATGTAAATAGTTATTCATTATTGCTAAAGTAATTCTCTATATTTAATTAATTTTTTTGTTGAGTAATTAAACTTAAAATGCATTTCTTAAATGAGTTAATAACCTTTGAGTCTTCATTTTCAATACATAAAGTTTTAGATGGATTTAATAATAACAACCTTATTTTTTCTAAGCTTTCTGGTGCTAAGTTAAGTAAAATTTGAGATGTGGGTTTACTTTCATCATCATCAACATTCTCTCAAAGAGCAGCTAAAATTGCTTGGTTTGAAGAAATCTCAGTTGTAGATAAGTCATTGTCAATTTTTATATATTCTGAAGCAAATAAAAGATTATCAGAATTAATTGAAAATTGTTTAATAAGATAATGAACTTCTCTTTTATCATCTAGATATTCATCATAATATGAGAATTCTTGCAGAGAAAATAATAATTATTCAATTCAACTGAAAGGATTCCCATTTTACACTAATAATTTCTAATTGTTTCACTTGATACCTCATTCTATACTAATGAACAATAATCTATTGCTTCTTTTATATTGACTAGGACCAGTTCTGACTGAGTTTCAAGTGCAAATTCATATGCATCCAAATGGTTTTAAATGAGAAAATGTTTATATTTGGTCTAAATAAATAAATATTTTGTTAGCATATAATAATAGTATATTATAGACTTGTTAACTAATTTAGAACACCTTAAAACAAGAATGAACTACTCTTTTTTCTTTTTTTGTCATTTTATTTTTTTTATCTTTTTTTTTATTACTTCTTTTTTATCTTTTTTTTATTATTATTTTTTTTTTATTTTTTTTTTTTAGAATAAGAATATTTTTGATAATAGTATACAAAATTAATTAGCAAACCTGTAATACTGTATTTACTTTAAAAGAATTAATTATCCTAGCATCCATCAGTTGAAGATGGGCTGTGGTATATTTAGACAAGGGCTCTATTTTTATATTAGTTAATACTATATTGTCTTTAAAATCATAAGTTGGTGCATTATTAATTAAAAGTAATATTTGGTGATTTTTAAGATATATTATTGAATCCAAATCTTTTATATAATGTTGTCAAATAGATTTTTGCATCCAAGCAGTCTTGTTTCAGAAATACTTAACTGGTAATTTTTTTTTGTTAATATTTCTAAGCACATGTGGGTTTTTATACTTATGGATAAACAATAGTTTTAATTTTTCTGTTCTTGTTGCATTAGAAGTTAATAAAATTGTAACTCTTTCTTTTGCTTTTTTTGTTCCTGAAACTGAACCTGTTGCTAATATATAGAAAGGCTCTATTCAGTAATACAAACTAGTTTTATTACAATTGAAAACATTCTCAAGCCTATAAGGTTGAATAACATTTTGTAATTTATTTTTAAATTCAGATAATTTTTTCAAAGGTGTGCTATCAGCTTCATCTTGTCTCTTATACTTACTAATGTTGTGTCTTTTTTTAAAGTTATGTAACCAACTATTTGAAGTATTAAATTTATTTTTATTTAATAATAATGCAAATTCTTTTGCCTTATTTTGGATAAAATAGCCTGTTAATGTTTGCTTATTACCTATAACATGTTCTACCCAAAGTGTCACTGCTAATTCAATGTTAACAGAAACAGATTTTTTGCTTCTCTTATTTGTTGCATCTTTTGAACCTAAATTGATTGATAACCAATAATCTGACTTTGCTAAAATTTCACTACATGTTGATTCACTGATACCATATTGGGCAGCAAGGTCATGATTTTTAATACTAGGTTCATTCTTTTTTTGAAGATATAAATCATATCTTTGTTTGTTAATTAAAATAAACTTTCTTTTCTTTTGAGCTTCACTATTACTATTATTGTTTTGTCACTTATTTGTACTAGTATCTATTACTGCACTTGTTAAATGAAAGATATGAAAATTTTAACTTTTTTTTTATATTATATTGATTAACAATGTTATACAAATGTTTTGTTATCTCATTTAATAATTCATTATATAAAGGTATTCATTATAACAAGGTAATTTTGTTATGAACAAAAAATATATTATTTCATTATACATTATAACAAAGTTTTATAATTAAATTCATTATATTGAGATTAATTTATTAATAAAAATTTTAGCTAGAAAAAATCTTTATTATAATGCCATATTCAGTTTATTAAGGTTCATTATATCGAGATTATACTGTATCTCAGCATCTATTAAACTAATTTAGATGATTTAATTATCATTAGATACATTTTAATGAGCTTTACAACTTTTAATTAATTAACTTAAACTATTAACTTAATATAAAAAAAAGCTATAAATAAATATATATTACATTTTTGTTTATAATAAAAAATATAGAAGATTTATATCATGTTATATTAAAATTATTCTTTAAATAATTAACAGATTATCAATTAATAAAAAAATATTAAAATATATTATATCAAAATTTTGTATACAATTTATAAATAATAACAGTAATATATTAAACTTAAACTAGTTTAAAAACTTTAAATTAGAATTAAAATATTAATTATAAAAACAAATTAAACCAATTTGAGCTAGCTTAAGCTGACTTTAATAGCTTTTTTAAGCTGAACTAAGCTGAGCTAGCTATTCTTAACCCTATTATGAAACATAGTATATAATATAAATTTTTATATTAAGATAATTACTTTTAAACTTATATTTAATTTCTTTACTAATAGATAGGTTAATAATTTCTAATTATAACAAGGTTTCAAGATATGTTAAATATTGTATTATAAATGAAGCAATAAGTTTTTTTTTAATTTTAAAAATTCAAGATCTTTTACAAGACTAAAATTAGATAAGATTAAACTAATTTTTCCAAAAAAAAATATTTAATAATATTTATTTATTTATTTATTTTTAAGTTAAAGTTCTTGCTTTTGAAAATCAATATTTTTATTCAAATATTTAAACATAGATGCCTCTAGAAGCTTTCATATATAGGAGATTACAAATAGTTATATATGTACTTTTGGTGTCTAATTTAAGTAGTCTGTATATACATTACTATACAGGTTCTACAATAAGTACTATACTTGCAAGCCAACTATAGGTCTTGCTTATTTAAACCTTTTGTATATATAGTCTAACTTGTGATTACAAAGATATCTTTTGGGTTATACCTATTCAAAGTATCTGATGCTTTTAAGACTTTTAGAACTAATTTATTCTCAACAGAAAACTTACTAGAACCTTTTATATTTTATATACAGCTAACCTAGTTTTATGTAACATATTATAATTATTTAATATTTGCAATTACAAGAGTTATCTGTTTAATTATTACATTATACCATTTTTATTCTTGTAAAGTTCACTAGAACCTCAGTACCTATTATCATAACATCTTCTTTATCATTTCTTATTAACTGCTATTTAGGACTGATAGGACTCTTTTAACTTCCAATTCAAATAGTCTAATATAGTATACATATGTATCTTTTTTTTTTAGCAATTCTGACAGCCTAGTTGGTCATATACTCCTTTATATATTTTATTATCTGGTTTATCTGTCTATTTCTTTGAAGGTGTTTCATCAGTTTGACTGTCAAAAGTTCATGTTATCTTTTTATTTAAAAATTTTTAAGTGGGTTTCTAATTTTTCAGTTCTTTAGTTTACTGTGCCCAGTAGTCTTATCATGAGTTTGCACTAAAGTCTTATATGATACTAGTTATTAATATTCTTTTATATATATGTAATATTAAACTTTACATAGATGCTCTGAGCTTCTATTTAAGATGGTATAACTTAAAATTACAGATACACCAATCCAACTAATCATTAAGAGACAGTTTGCCATAATACAGATTTCCAAATTTTATTATAGGTAAAATTTGAACCTTAGATTTGCTATTTGGAAGATGACAACTCAACCATTATACTAGAATTGTCATTTACTACTTGATAATATTTATCATATTGTATTAAATAATATAAACATAGTTAAAATTTTAAAAATAATGTATTGGTATTATTTTTAAAAATTATTACTAATTCTTAAATAATATAACTTTTATTATTAATCTATTCTTCTTCAAAATAATATAAATATAAATAATTAGTATTTTTATTAATCTAAACAATAAACTGAAATCATGAATTCTATCTTGTCTTAATAGATAATAGTAATAAAATAATTTAATTATTATCTAATAATAAATTTAGATTAAAATTTAATTCTAAAAAACTAATTCAATGTCTTTTACATGTTAGGTATTAAACAAATATTGCTTTAATATTTTTAGTAATATTAGCTAAAAATTAAAAATTTTTATAATAAACTTAGATTTTATCAACTAAATTTAAAATATAGGTTAAGCAATAATTATGTTTTAATTGTAAAGCTAATAAAGTTACAATTTGAAATATTTTTAGCATATATGTTACATTATTAAAAATAAAAAAATTAAATTATCAACAAAAATACTATAAAATTATAAAATTTTAATAATCAATTGCATAATAAAAATATATACTATTTATAGCAGTAATAAATTCAATTTTAGCAAGTTTAGTACAATTATATATTAAAACTAAATAATATATAAATAATGGCTCTACTATATGCATCTGTAGTTTCATTTACAATAATAGAAATTTATTTGTCTTTTATAAGATTTTGTAATTTTGAAACTTTAATATCAAATATTTTTAATAAATATTTAATATAAAGATAATTTAAACTTATAATAGTACCATTTAAATAAAATTAATATTTTATTAATTTTGATTAAATAAACTTTATTAATTAAATAAGTTACTGTTTTTGTATTATTCTAAAAAAAAGCTTTTAAGCTTATTAATTTTATATAGAAAAATATCAACTTTAATAAATTATTTACTAAAGCAATATTAATAAGCTCTTAATTATTTATATTAATATTAGCTGTATCAAAAGTTGTTTGATAAATCAATTTCAAATTTTCAGTTTTATTAATATTAGCTTTATGTTTTTCTGATTTTAAATAAGAGTTTGTTGTAGACTTTCTGATATGATTTATAATATATTTACAAAATTTGCAAAATAATTTGTAACTGTTAACATAAAAATTTTTTTTATATTCTAAATTTTTGATTCTGCATTTAGCAGCAAAAACTATTATTAAAGTTTGTAAAACAAAAAAAAAAGTTATACTATTGTAGTTAAATTTGTTAATTAATAATAAAAGTTTAAAAAAAAATTGTTTTTATTAAAAGTATAAAAGGTATTTTTTTTTTTCTCTTAAGCAGTCATGCTAGTGCTTTATTAAGATTTTGAAATTACATTTGCAATTATATAAATATTCTTAATAACTAAGCTTAGCATTACTCAAACACCTTAATAGTATCTAAATGCAACCTGCTGCATTACTTCAAGCAAAAGTAAGCCACTCATTTAACTACTTTAAGTCTATAATGAAAGAGTCTTCTTCCTTTCATGACAAGCTCTAAAATTGTTTTTGTGCTTCTTTTCTGATTTGTTTTTTTGTTCTTTTGCTTTCTCTTTTTTTTCTTTTATGGCTTGCCAATTTAACTCTTGATGTTTTTCTTTTTTTCTTTTTATCCTATTCATTATTCCTTCATTTTTCTCTTATTCATTAATCTTCTTATATCAGATTCTTCATACTTGTTTGTAAAATATATTTTAGGCCATTTTTGCTATTGTATTTATAAACTGCTGTCTTGATTTTATATTTAAAAGCTGCCTTAATCTGTCCTGTTTTCTTTTAGAATAAAACCTTTAATTAGTGCCTCTTTTATTTTAATTTTCTCTGATTCTGTTTTTCCAAAGAGTACTATGTATAATATATATAGGAGAACTTGAACTTTTTCTTCTTTTTTTAACCCCTTCCAGGCTGTTGCAATGGTCACTTTTTGTATTTTTTTCTACAGATTTTTTTGTTCCTTACATACTGCCAAATGTGTTTGTATTTCTTTTGTTTTATTTTGACATATTTGGTATTCTATTATTATATATACATCTGGTCTTCTTTTGTTAAATTCTTCTAGAGTTGGAAGTTTATTTATTATACACTTTTTATAAATGCACTTCTTTTGGCACTATCTTTTCTTGTTATGTAGTGTACTCCTTTAGATATCTTCAGTCTATTTCAAAAGTATGTCCAATTATAAATTATAGCTTCTGTTTCTAGTTCTAGACCTCTAATTGCTTTTATTTCTTTCTATTCTACTTCTAACCTTGCATTCATTATCAATTTGCATAGCAGTCTTACTGGTATGTTAGTATGTTTGTTTTCTCACTCTAAGCAGTACTCTATCTCTTTGCAACTGACTTTTTCAACCTGTATTATCTTTTTACTCATTGCACCTTTTTTTGCTAGATTATTAGCTTTATCATTTTATCTATCTTTTACTATGACTCTTAACTTTAACAAACTTTATCTGAATGTTCTTTGTTATAATAAGCTCTCTAATTTTCATTATCTATATTGCATTTTCTTTTTGAGAATCTTATTTTTGCATACTTGTTCTAAACTTTTACTAATGTTTCTTATTGCTGCATTGCTATCTGTATATATTTCTACTTGCTTTTCTCTTAGTATTGTTAAAATTGCAGTCCATATTACCACTAATTCAGTTATTGTTGATGTTTGCCATCTTTTTAGACCTAATGCTATTTCTTCTTCTGGCCATTCTTGTGTTTTGTCTGTTTGCATCCATTCTATGCCCATACTATTTCTGCTTTTTGTATCTTCTTTAGTTTTTAGATTTGCTGCTTCATCTGTGTATATTATATACTTGTTTTTGTTTCTTATTATATTTCTTCTTAAAACTTCTACTATTTCTTGACTAATGCTATCTTTTAATTTTTGTCATCTGATTAACTCTACTTCTAGCTCTTCTATTATTTTTAGTCCCTTGAGTTTTTGTTCTCCTATTCCTAATTTATTTGTCTTTATTATTTTTGTTTTTGATCTATTGCTATTTTGATCTTATTGCTACTTTTTTTTATCAATGCATCTAGAATTATATTAACTCTGTTATTTATTCTTATCTACTGCTGGCAGGAATTTTCTCAGTATTTTTCTTTTCTTATACAACTCTTACATCTGCTAATTTCGATAGCTAATTCACTTTCTTTATTTTGTATTTGCCAATGTCTTACTAGTATTTTTTTTTTTCTTCTTAACTATCTTTCCTAACTGTCAATTGTTCTGTGCATCATATGCTATTCATTCTTTTCTTCTTTTGTCTTCTGAGATATACTTCTATCTTATCTGCATTGCTTGAGTATTTTGTTTAATTATTCTAAATTGTTTTTTAATTTCTTTATTTTTTTAGTTTAATAAGCACTTCTTATTCTATCATTTTAAACCATTTTGCTTTTTTTTCTTTATTCGATAGACCTTGGTAACTTTTTAGCTACTGCTATATAATTAATCTTCCTTCTTTTGCATCTATTAACTGGCTTAGATATATTAAGCCTGCTTCATTTATTTTAGTACCACTTTTTTTCTGTAATCACATATCTATGAGTTCTCTTATCTTAATTTCATATCTAAATATTGTCTATAAGTTGTCTTTTATTCTTATATTTATATTAAGTTTTCTTACTTTTAGCAATATTAGACAAGCTAAGTTACTCTTCTAACCTTCTATATTTTTTGACATCTCCTTTATTTTCTATATATTTTCTGTTAAACCTGCTCTTTGGCACCCTTGTGTTATTTTTAGTTTTGTTAACTGTCCAAAACTATCTTGTTTGTTTAGTCTTGCTAATAGGCCACTTATTTGTTTTGTTGTTAATTCTTGTCATAGTGTTCTGCAGCTTTCAAGATCTTTATGTTCCA